GCTTTTTGGGGGGGGGGGGGTACTAAATTACAAACATTGAAAAGAATTTACTGAACAGTACTGAAAATAGAAAGGATCACAACAAAAACATCTGTGTTTTAATTTGCCGAGAGAGAAGAACAAGTGACTGATACAAGATTCATAACACCTGATAATTCTGTTATAGTTTGGAGATGGGCTGTAGAGTCTTTTTCTTGTATAATCTGGAGTTGTTGGGAGCATTTGAGAGAATTCAGTATACATGAGAATTTCAGACTGACAGTTTTGGAGAACATATTTATCCACAGACTAGGTACAGGTTATACAACTGGAGATGACCCCAGCCATCCTGGTAACATAACTCAACTCTGACCTGAAGGAGCAAATGAAGTGCAAATAAACTTACCTTAGGGACAAGTTCCATCATCAAAGGAGACTTGTTTGTTTAAAAAAACAGTTATTTTGGAGAAGTGAGAAATCTGCTCCAAAGGGAAATTTGTATGACTTTGGCCAAAGCAATAGTTCCTCTTGATTTCTTTTGAAAACAGAGCTTCTGGAACAGGTTGAAGGGGTGAACTCATTCATTTCACTAGAATTTTTTTTTCCTCAAGTAAACAACCTGTGTTTAGTGTAAGATGGAAATGTGATTATGAAGGGACTAACAGTGATCCTTATTGATGTGACGGCAGCAACTACACTAAGGTCACCCTTTAAAACAGTAATTAATGTTCTGGGGTAGTAAAAGGTCCATTCTAGACTTTTTACAAAATATTTTTCTCTCTCTGCCTCTCCCTTTTTAAATTCTGGCCAGGCATCATCTAATTTTTTGCCTATTTCTCCCATTTGTTTTTGCTAGACTTGATTCCTCTGGTTGCACTAAAACTGTTAGTTCTCCAGCCAAAAGAAAAAAAATAAAAGGAGAAGGAGAAAGATTTTTTTTAAATGAGGAATGATGTACATTACTTTATTAATTTATTCTGTTTCAAGCATTATAATGTTAAAAGGAAATTACATTTTGTTTTGTAAGGAAGTAAAAGTATTTATTATTATTAACACAGAGCCTAGAACTCATAAGCTAGGATGCCATTGTGCTAGGTGCTATACAGGCATAGAACACAAAATAGCCTTTTCCCAAATAGTTGATAATCCAGGATATTGCAAACCAAAGACCAGTGTCATTAAGATTAGGTACAGACAGTCAAAAAGCCCAAGGCTGAATCAATTCAGTCTGTGCAGGTTAGTCTAAAATGCAGATTAAACTGAAACAGAAGTGAACAGACATTTACCTTTGATTCAGGAACTACAGCCACATGCCTGCAGTGGCTTAGGTCAGAAGCCAGCGGGTGCTAGAGCACAGCTTTCTGGCTGTGTGTTCACATCCTCTTCCTGCTGCCCCTGAGGACTCTGGGATTTGCAGTCCAGAATTGCAGAACTCTGCAGGATTTCTCATCACTTCCTCTTCCTTTTTCCAGGTGCCTTTGGGATTTGTAGTCCACAGTCAAAGTCCACAGTAAGTTTGAGCCAGGGAAGGGGCGTTTAACCCCCTCTCCTTGGTTCCAGACCCCAGCTGGGGTTTGCCTTGGGGAGTCCCTGTCCTGCCCCCATAGACTGGGCTGCACCCCTGGCCTGGCTCACCCTCCCTTGTCAGCCAGCTGTCACTCCTCCAGGTAAGGAGCAGAGGGCTGGAGTCAGCCCTGCTCCCTGGAGCAGACAGCACAGCCCAGCCCAGCCCAGCCCAGGGATGCCATGCATGCTGGAGAGCTCTGATTTAACTTAAACCAGCAAGGGGTCTGGGACAGAAGTTTCATAAACTGGTTTGACCCAAATCAGCTAAGCCTGATACTACATTCAGCCAGGTTTATCTTAAACCAGTTTCAGCCATTTTGAAACTGGTTTATGTGCACTGACCTTCTGTTCTGTTACAGGTTAAAACCAGTTTCTTATCCCTTAAACCAGTTTATGTGTAACTTCGGTCTCTAGCCCATGTGTCTAAACCATAATTATAAAACTTAATAGAAGCTGGGTTAGGTGGAATGATGTCCAGCCCATTGCATACACTTATTGCTCATTTTTTTAATTTTGGTTTTATTTCTTTAATATGGCAAATAATAAAAAAATGACCAGGAGAGGAAAGGTGACTGACAGAACAGCTGGAATGCATGATAAAGAAAAAAATAGTTGAGCTAATGGAAAAGTAATGCCTTGAAAGAAAGAAAAAAAAATATTCTGCATTCACATGTTAGAGGTATGGAACTTTACTTATATATAAAAAACACTTGCAATAAAAATTGACACAGGGATGGGGCTCATTTTTTCTAATGATGACCTGGAATGCAGGGTGGGTCAGAAACTCTTACATAGATTAAGAAGATAATATGCATTTATGTACTAATGCATATTTTAAAGCTGTAGGAACAGCAGTAGCTCTCAAACTGAAGCTTCTACATTCATGAAATGAAAATAAAATATATTTATTTATATCTTATAGGGTATGAAGACTTCATTAGTATAAACTTCCAAAAATACTATCCAGAAACACCCATGATCATTCAGTCCTAAAACTACCACAAGGATGCCAATTCCAATTTCTACTGCTTGTTACAGGATTTTGGTTTGTTTTTCATTTGGAAAGTTATTCTCTACATATGGAACAAAGAGCAAGAATTTCAACTATATCATATAAAAATAGTAAGGAACTTCCAGCCAATGTGAACAGAGCATTTAATCTAAAATCATGCCAGTTTATGTCAGTGCATGTGCATTTACAGCGAAGTAATTAACTCCTTAATTACTGGACTAATATAGTGGAAAACCCATATCTATGTTATTTTGTTTAATCTTCTGCCAACTATTATTCTTTAAATAATCAGAAACAGCTTTCTAACATGGAAATCTAGAATGTCTTAATGGAAATTAAAGAAAAACAAAAAGACAAAAAATTGAAAAAAATAGACAAATAACAATGTAAGCATATCCAATAGTATAAAAATCATGCACATTATTCTCTCCTTTTAATTTTCCTGGAAGATGAATGAAGGAAGGATAGAAGGAGGTAGTGTGTGGGAGGGTAATTGTGGGCTGTGAATGTTTTCCTTATGGAGACACAGAGAGCTTGTATTTAACACTTAATCTATTTTTATTTAAGTAGTAGAAAACATAGCATTAACCACAGCTTGGTGTTGACTGCACCCTGTAGTCCAGAGCCCCACCTTCCAACATGAAGTATAACCTTTATTTTTTCAGGCATATTCTATGCCCTTTCACAATGATGACAGCTACTCTACAACTTGGGAAGTATAAGGAGGAAAATAAAACCTCACATGATGAAAAAGGGCAAAGCAAAATCAGCGGCACCTGATTAATGTGTTAAGATGTGCAATAGAAATAAAAGAACAAGAAGACCTATAAAGTTTTCTCTTGTTAATAAAACACTGAAAATAAAAGACCTCCCTTCCATCATGGGGCAATACAAAGCCACTAATGACTTACCTATACCACACAAATGTAATGGGAAAGACAAATTCTGTAAAGAGTTTACTTACTGAAGTTTTATGGACAGTTTGTTCCTATTTTAAGCATCTTTGTTTTCAATGAAGATCTTTCTAAATAGTTTATATTATTTATTAGTTGGGTGCGATTGAAAACGAGATATTTGCAAAGACATGCAAAGAAGATACAGTGTAATTGATAGATATCATGGTAGTTATAATAAATGAACACTTGCAGAAAGTGAGGTCAGACGAAGACATTTTTTTGCTGTTTTTAGATCCTTAAATCAAAGCACAATGACTTCTTTTTTCCCATTCCATAAGATTTAATTAACATTTTTAAATCAGTTCAGAAGTTGGGTTCAAGTTAATATTCAAATCCATCCTGTCTTGTCAACTTCTACACTGGGGCTTTTGTAGATTTCATAGACACTTCATAGACATTTAGACTGTGCTGT